ATAAAGAGGGGGAAGGGTAGCAACGCGGCTGGGCGGCACCTTCTCCGGTCCCAGTACCTGGCCCAACGAGGCTGTCTGCACGGCTTCGTACCGCTCGAGCCGCTCAGGTACCGGTCCTACCGAGGCGTCGCCCTGTCCCGCTCCCGCTGGAGAGAGAAGGAAGCACGGCCGGGAGGCACTCCTACTCTCCCCAGTGCTCGGACAGTGTGGACTGTCTCTGCGGATTTCATATCGCTCGAGTCCTCCGGACACCGGGGTTCGCGGGGGGCGCCACCGTTCCCGTTACCGCTGGGAAAAGCCCGTCCTTTCTTGGCCCCACGTCTCACCATGGACTGGGCACGTGGGCGGAGGGAAGAGTCCGCCCTTTGGGGCGCACGGACAGCCAGGGCCCCGTCGGCCGTCTGGACGTGGCGGCGTCCAGACGTTTCCCGAATCTCACCACGCGGAGGTGGGGTTGGCTAATGGGAGCAGCGGGGGATGCTCGAGGCATGCCTAGACCGCGCCGCGCCCTTTGAGAGTCGCACCAGCAGAGCTGGCGGTACCACCCCAACCATCAGTAGCAGCACCAGCAGCACCATCAGCAGCACCAGCAGCAGAACCAGCAGCACCAGTAGCACCACCAGCAGCACCAGCAGCAGCAGCAGCACCACCACCACCAATACCACTAGCACCAGTAGCAACAGCAGCACCGGCAATACCAGCAGCATCACCAGCAGCACCAGCAACACCTGCGGCACCACTAGCAGCAACAGTAGCAACAGCACTACCAGCAGCACCTGCAACATTAGCAGCACCAGCGTCAACAACACCACCACCACCAGCAACAGCAGCACCACCAACATCAATACTATCAGCACCAGTAGCACCAGCAGCACCAGCAGTACCAGCAGCACCACCAGCAGCACCTGCAACACTAGCAGCACCAGCGTCACCACCACTACCAGCACCAGCAGCAGCAGCAGCACCACCACTACCACCACCAGCAGCAGCAGCAGCACGGGCAGCACCAGCAACACTAGCAGCTCCAACATCACCACCACCTCCACCAGCAGCAGCAGCAGCAGCACCACCACCAATAACACCAGCACCAGTAGCACCAGCAGCAGCAGCACCAGCAGCACCAACAACGCCAGCAGCACCAATTGCGGCACCAGCACCACCAGCACCAACAGCACCACCATCACTACTAGCACCATCACCAGCAGCACCAGCAACAGCACCAGCAACACCAACAGCATCAGCAGCACTTGCGGCACTAGCAGCAGCAGAAGCAGCAGAACTACCACCACCACCACCTCCACTAGCACCAACAGCACCACCATCACTGCTAGCGCCACCACCAGCAGCAGCAGCACGAGTAGCACCAGCAACACCAGCAGCACCAATTGCGGTACCAGCACCACCAGCACCACCGTCACAACTAGCACCATCACCAGCAGCACCACCAACAGCATCTGCAATATCAGCAGCACCAGGAGCAGCAGCAGCAGCAGCACGAACACCACCAACACCACCAGCAGCAGCAGCAGCACGAACAGCACCAGCAACACCAACAGCACCTGCGGCACTAGCAGCAGCACCAGCAGCAGCAGCAGCAGCAGCAGCACCACCACCACCACTACCGGCAGCAGCACAAGCAGCACCAGCAACACCAGCAGCACCAATTGCGGCAACAGCACCACCATCACCAACAGCACCAGCAGCAGCAGCAGCACTACCACCAATACTACCAACACCACCACCACCAGCAGCAGAACCTGAAACACCAGCATCATCAGCATCACCACCACCACCACCATCAGCACCAGTAGCACCAGCAGCATCAGCAGTACCAGCAGAACTACCAGCAGCACAAGCGTCACCACCACCACCAGCAGCAGCAGCAGCAGCAGCAGCAGCAGCAGCAGCAGCAGCAGCAGCAGCAGCAGCAGCAGCAGCAGCAGCAGCAGCAGCAGCAGCAGCAGCAGCAGCAGCAGCAGCAGCAGCAGCAGCAGCAGCAGCAGCAGCAGCAGCAGCAGCAGCAGCAGCAGCAGCAGCAGCAGCAGCAGCAGCAGCAGCAGCAGCAGCAGCAGCAGCAGCAGCAGCAGCAGCAGCAGCAGCAGCAGCAGCAGCAGCAGCAGCAGCAGCAGCAGCAGCAGCAGCAGCAGCAGCAGCAGCAGCAGCAGCAGCAGCAGCAGCAGCAGCAGCAGCACCACCACCACCACCAGCACCAGTAGCACCAGCAGCATCAGCAGTACCAGCAGAACTACCAGCAGCACAAGCGTCACCACCACCACCAGCAACAGCAGCAGCAGCAGCACCACCACCAATACCACCAGCACCAGCACCACCAGCAGCAGCACCAGCAACACCAGCAGCACCAACATCACCACCACCACCAGCACCAGCAGCAGCAGCAGCACCACCACCAATACCACCAGCACCAGCACCACCAGCTGCAGCACCTGTAACACCAGCATCACCAGCAGCAGCACCAGACGTACCAGCTACACCAGCAGCATCAATTGCGGCACCAGCACCACCAGCACCAACAGCACCACCATCACCACCATCACCACTAGCACCATCACCAGCAGCACCAGCAACAGCATCAGCAACACCAGCAGCAGCAGCAGCACCTGCAACACCAGCAGCACCAACATCACCACCACCACCAGCACAAGCAGCAGCAGCACCACCACCACCACCAACACCACCACTGGCAGCAGCACGTGCAGCACCATCAACAGCAATAGCACCAATTGCGGCGCCAGCACCACCAGCACCAACAGCACCAACAGCACCACCATCACCACTAGCGCCACTACCAGCAGCACCAGCACAATCAGCACCAGCAACACCAGCAGCATCAGCAGCACCAGCAATACCAGCAGCAACACCAGCAGCACCAGCAACACCTGCGGCACCACTGGCAGCACCAGTAACAGCAGCATCACCCCCACCACCACCACCACCAGCACCAGCAGCAGCAAAATCACCAGCAGCACCAGCAACACCTGCGGCGCCACTAGCAGCACCATCACCACCACCACCACCAGTAGCACCAGCAGCATCAGCAGTAGCAGCAGCAGCACCAGTAGCAGCACCACCACTACCACCACCACCAACACCATTACCGGCAGCAGCACGAGCAGCACCAGCAGCACCAGCACCAACAGCACTACCATCACCACTAGCGCCACCACCAGCACCTGCAACACTAGCAGCACCAGCGTCACCACCACCACCAGCACCAGCAGCAGCAGCAGCACCACCACCAATACCACCAGCACCAGCACCACCAGCAGCAGCACCTGCAACACCAGCAGCACCAGCGTCACCACCACCACCAGCACCAGCAGCAGCAGCAGCACCACCACCAATACCATCAGCACCAGCACCACCAGCAGCAGCACCTGAAACACCAGCAGCACCAATTGCGGCACCAGCACCACCAGCACCAACAGCACCACCATCACCACTAGCACCATCTCCAACAGCACCAGCAACAGCACCAGCAACACCAGCAGCATCAGCAACACCTGCGGTACTAGCAGCAGCATCAACAATACCAGCAGCACAACCACCACCACCAATTCCACCAGCACCAGTAGCACCAGGAGCACTAGGAATACCAGCAGGATCACCAGCAGCAACACCAGCAGTAACAGCTACACCAGCAGCACCAATTGCGGCACCTGCACCACCAGCACCAACACCACCACCATCACCACCATCACTACTAGCACCATCTCCAACAGCACCAGCAACAGCACCAGCAACACCAGCATCATCAGCAGCACCTGCGGCACTAGCAGCTGCATCAGCAATACCAGCAGCACAACCACCACCACCAATTCCACCAGCACCAGTAGCACCAGGAGCACTAGGAATACCAACAGCATTACTAGCAGCACCAGCAACACCTGCGGCACCACTAGCAGCAGCACCACCACCACAACCAATACCACCAGCACCAGTTGCACCAGTAGCACCAGCAGCACCAACAGCACTAACGTCACCACCACCACCACCACCAGCAGCAGCATCATCACCACCACCAATAGCACCATCACCAGTAGCACCAGCAGCACCAGCAATACCAGCAGCAGCACCAGCAACACCTGCGGCACCACTGGCAGCACCAGCAGCATCAGCAGTACCAGCAGCACTACCAGCAGCACTTGCAACACTAGCAGCACCAGCGTCACCACCACCACCAGCACCAGCAGCAGCAGCAGCACCACGACCAATACCACCAGCACCATCACCACCAGCAGCAGCACCTGAAATACCAGCATCACCAGCAGCAACACCAGCTACACCAGCAGCACCAATTGCGACACCTGCCACACCAGCACCAACAGTACCACCATCACCACCATCACCACTAGCACCATCTCCAGCAGCACCAGCAACAGCACCAGCAACATCAGCAGCATCAGCAGCACCTGCTGCACTAGAAGCAGCATCAGCAATACCAGCAGCACAACCACCACCACCAATTCCACCAGCACCAGTAGCACCAGGAGCACTAGGAATACCAGCAGCATTACGAGCAGCACCAGCAACACCTGCGGCACCACTAGCAGGACCAGTAGCAGCAGCACCACCACAACCACCAATACCACCAGTACCAGTTGCACCAGTAGCACCAGCAGCATCAGCAGCACCAGCAGCACCAACAGCACTAACGTCACCACCACTACCAGCAGCAGCAGCAGCAGCATCACCACCACCAATAGCACCATCACCAGTAGCACCAGCAGCACCAGCAACACCTGCGGCACCACTGGCAGCACCAGTAGCAGCAGCATCACCCCGACCACCACCACCAGCACCAGTAGCACCAGCAGCATCAGCAGTACCAGCAG